CCTACCTGGACTCCTGGGCATCTCGCAAAGCCACCGCTTGGCCCTGCGGTTGGCCTGAGCGTGACCATTTCCAGGGTCACCAAGGCATCTGCCCCCCGGCACTGCTGGGTCTCTGGGTCACGGTGGTCACTGCCAAACCTTGCGTTGGGTCAGGCTCAGGAGGAGCCAGGAAGGACCAAAACGCGGAGCTCCTTTTCCTGCCTCTCTCTGTGGCATCTCACCCAAGGTCTGTGTCTTTCCTCTCTGCACAGAGACTCTGCCTCTCCAGGGACACCCAGTTCTTGGTCCTCGGAGCCTCGGTAGCATCCGTGAACCGCACAGACGAGCAGCTCAGCTTTGAGGTCTCCTTGGCGATCTGGCACCGCGGTGGCGCAGGTGCGGAGCCGTGGCTGAACGCAGCCCGAGCTGCGGGGGACGCGGGCCTGCAGGAAGCCCCTGGCAGCCGGGGAACCTTCTGCTAATGGTTTCTGTGCCCTGACTTGGGCCTCATCTCAAGCCTAACTGTAGCAAGTGGAAGTCTGTGGGCTCCAGTGGGGACTATGGGGCTGCATGGTTATGTGGTGTGGGGCCCCGAACCCCTCCCCACAGCTCTGCCTGCCAGGTGTCCCCCTGCCCTCCGCAGAAGTCCAGCGGCTCCTTTTCGGCTCCGATGACAAGTGCTTCACCAGGATGACGCCTGTGTTGCTCCTGCTGGCCAAGGCACAGAGGGAAGAAGATTCTTTGGCCGCTTCCTCCTACCTCTCTGCTGCCGGGGTGGTGGAAGTGGCTCCGTATCCCCTGCTGAGCTCCGTGGGCTCCAGCACAGCCACAGAAAAATACAGGGACTGGAAGCCAGGAGGGAAAGGGGAGACAGTCCCAGCCCTTGTCCCTTGTCAGGATGGGTAGTCCAAGGATTGGGTGTCTGGCGGGAGCCGGGGCTGAGGGTGCTGGCCTGGGGTGTCTGACTCTTTGCCACCCAGGACCTGACACTGGGCTCCTCACTAGCAGCCTGGCATCCCCACGGGGAGTGACCTGTGCTGGAGCTGGGAGCTTTCCGGGCAGGTTGGGGCTGTGTGTGCGAGGGCTGGGACATGGGGCATGTTGAGGGACCCTCTGAGCGGGGGCTGTGTCCAGGAAGATGGGGGCTGGCCCGGTGGGAAGGGGATGCCCTGGTCAGATCCATCAGCCCTGGGCTGCAGCAGGGCCCCTGTGACCCCATCCCTGTGTTCCCCTCGCAGCCCCCCCGAGGCTGGCAGTGAGGAGCTGCCGTCGCCCACCCTGCCGAGCTGGGTCAACGCGTCGGCCCCCGCGCCCGGCGGCAGCAGCCAGTTCCTGGACATCCTGACCAGGTTCATCCGCCAGGTCCTGAGCCCCTCCAGCGAGCCGCCCACCCAGCCCAGCTCCCACCACTGGCTGGACTTCCAGATGATGGAGACCCTCCCTCACCAGCTGCTCAACCTGTCGGAGAAGGCGGCGCTGGAGCGGCTGGGGCAGTCGGAGGAGCCCTCGGTGCTGCTCTTCCCGCAGGACAGCGGCGCTCTGCTGGAGCAGCACCTGGGCGGCTGGCAGCCCGAGGGCACCGTGCTGCAGCTGCTGACGGGCAAACTGCAGGCTGTGATCCAAGAGCTGCAGGACATCCCCTCTTTCCAAGCCAACATGGGGCTTTTCCAGCATCTCCTGAGCTGCTGCTGCTCCGCGCCGGGGCCGGGTGAGGGCCAAGCCGGCGAGCAGCCGCCCGGCTCCGGGAAGCTGCACACGCTGCTGCTGCTCAAGGCGCTGCAGACGGTGCGTGCCCGCTGGCAGGAAAGGAGGAAAGTCCTGCGGCAGAACCGCAGCGCCCGCCACCAGGCGCACTGCCGCCTGCAGGAGCTCACCATCGACCTGCAGGACCGCAAATTCATCGTCATGCCCACGGTGTACGCGGCCAACAACTGCGAGGGCCCCTGCAAGCTGCCGCTCTCCACCCGCGTGCCCAGCTACTCCTCGCACACGGTGCTGCTGCTGGGCATGCAGGAGCGGGGCTCGCCGCTGCGGCGCGCTCCCTGCTGCGTGCCCGTCCGCTACTCGGACCAGCTCATCATCAGCGTCTCCAGCGAGGGGCTGGAGGTCCGCAAGTTCCCCAACATGGTGGCAGAGGAGTGTGGCTGTCGGTAGGGGCTCCTGGCCGCGTCCCGGCTCTCGCCGGCCCCGCTCCTGCTTTGCCCTCACAGCTTGGAGCGGGGCCTCCTCGCTGAGGCGCGTGGCCCCCGCCTGCCTCTTCCCCGTGGGTTGGTTTTAGT